CTCCACTTTAGGGTGCAGGTCATTAGCTGGGAGAATATTAATTTTCTATTCATATTTTGATTTCTTTCCTGGTAAAACATAAAATAAAACAATTTTTGACATATAATCTTCTTGCTCAATCAAATGTTGAGTCTCATATCAACATGAATGGAATATTTAACAAATTGTGGGGATTCCAAAAACTAAAAAGCGGAGGTTCTAATTAAGTTTCATCTATCCTTAATGCAAATACTCTTTTAAGGCAGGCCTACTGAATTAAGTGAGAGACACATTCTTTCATGCACCTTTAAAGGCAACAGAAAGGGAGCATCCAGGTTAGTTATGTGCAAATGGTTATTCTATAATCACCTGTTGCTTTTATACATTAGATTTAACCCATACAGGTGAATATATGTAATTCATAAACCTCCTGAGAAAATTGTAGACAAGAAAAAACAATGCCTTCCCTGAAGTGATTATAAAAGGTACTCACACGAACTGCTACAGAAACGACTATTACCCACATATTAAAAACTTAATTCACCCAGCCAAATTTACACTCTCAGACATAAGTCCATTTTCTGGTTATGAAAATGGACTCAGTATCTCATTGTTATGAATTGTGTTTGAGAAACAAAAGGTTTGCATTACCCATTTTAAACAAATGTTCAAATTAACAAGTTTTCTACAACTATATGGCAAAATGTTCTATTGCCCAGAGATACAACAAAATGAATCATTAAGAAAGTATCTGCAGATTACGCAGTTTCTATAAATTGCTCCTCTGAACCTGCTGTTTCTAGTTTTAATTCAATCGTCTAATTTTATTAATATATATGCCATCTTAAAAATGCTGACTCACACATAAAAAATCTTCCCAGCACATCATCATCAAGTGAGCAAAGAGGAAAAATGCTCGGGGAGATTAAATCTAATCTGGCTGGGTAGAAACTTCTCAAGTTTTTAACCTTATACTGCCTGTTTCCTTGCTTTCCAAATAACAATGCTGCAGTAAAAACGGCAGGACTTGGCAACTGACAGAACATGACAGACACGAGAGTCATTGGAGACGACCTGGAGGTATCTCAGCTGGGTAAGCAGAGGGACCTAAGAGGAAGAGAAGTTTAGAGCAACCTAGAGATGGCCAGTTCCAGCTGGGCCAGGAGGGAGGGAGACACCCATAAACGGGTGGACAACAGCCAACCGGGAGTATGGTTCAGACACAAAGAGAGGTTTGTAGACAACAGAGACAACTGGAAATCACAGGCATGCCTGATACCAACATCCAGGTCCAAAATATTTTATAAAATGTCATCTCATTTCAAAACACATCAAAAATAAAGTAGAAAGGTAAGCTTACGTATTTCAATCATTTATCAACATTTCGAATTAAAATACGAACTCTCCTAACACATGATCAATGAGACACTGATTACCATCTGTCTCTCGCTTTTCTGAATTTGAATCATGACATCAGGAAGCTCCCTGAAATTATATGCTGTTGATGACGACGACAGCGATGGTGGCAATGAAATCTCAGCACGCTTACTGCACGTCGGGCGTATTATCCCCCCATGTAACTTCCCTATTAAAATATAAAGTGGAGGCCCCATTTTCAGGACGATCAGAAAGACATATGTGTGAACCAGTTTTAACTTTAACCTCAAATCCATTTGTTAAAACTCCAACAGTGCTCTTGGTTCATATCAATCTTGTGGTGACAAAACTGTAAACACTGGAGTTTTGCCAGATTCTTCTTATTTTGCTTTCTCCGGGCAATCTCAGTGACAGGAGTACTTCCTTTTATATTCACTATCACCCCGGTTCACCCAGATAGACTTGGCACCATCTCCTCTTCCAATACTATAAATTTCCCCACTGATCAAAACTGTCTATTCAGCCTGACTAACATGGCTCAGTGGTANTCTATTCAGCCTGACTAACGTGGCTCAGCGGTAGAGCATCGACCTAGGATCCAGGAGATCAGGGTTCGATTCCCGGTCAGGGCACATGCCCGGGTTGCAGGCTCGATCCCCGGTGGGGGACGTGCAGGAGCAGCCGACCAAAGGCTCTCATCCTCGAAGTTTCTATCTCACTCTCTCCTCTCCCTTCCTCTCTCTGAAATCAATAAAGATATATTAAAACAAAAAACAAAAAAACCCACAAAAACTGTTTATTCAACAACAAAAACTAGAGGAGACCTTCCTTCTACAAATGCTGAGAAAGGGAATTACTCGTTCATTCACCAAATGAGGCACCTGGATTCGTCCTTTCAATTCCCTTTGAACTCTGAGCAGTACCGCAGAGAGGCCCTCCTGAGGCTGCACCATCTAAAGATTGTCACAGGGAGGTGACGCACAGCCACGTCCCTCTCAAACCTTTCATCCAGTTTGATTTTCTTAAAAACTGTTCCTCAAAAATTAAAATGGCTTTTTCAAAAGTTAATTTTCATTTTTTAATTTTACTTTTCATTTTTTTAAACTGCCTTCACTGTCTCTCTTCCTCTCCCTCCCCCTGGCCCCAGCACGCAAAGGCCACCTTGCTAATTTCCGCAAAGCAAAGATTCTGTCTTACAAACACAGTACACACTCCTCAACCACAAAAAGTGGCTAAATAAATGCTTATAACACAAATCCAGGACTAAGAAGCCAATTAGTTCAGTAAGTCCAAATGCCCATGACAGTCTGAAAGCGAAGTCTCCCGGCAGTGCTTGACGGGGGGGATCACTTGGCTCCCTGAATTCCCTAAGGAAGGGCCTTGGACCTGGGACACTAGGGTGTCAGCACATTTAAGGAAATAAGGGAGAAAGTGAAGCCCAAAGACCAATGTGAACTTTGCATTTCTTTGCTCTCATTACCCAGTCCCCAAAGCACAGGAGTATAAAACAAAATGATCCTTTCACGCAAAAAGGCTCCAACACTACCCTCCACTGAGTCTATTACCAGAGTTCACAGAGGAGCACTCATCCAGGTTTAGGGCTAATTTACTGGGGTAGGGTCACCTTAAAGAACAATTTTGATAGTTTTGAAAATGAAAGCAATTTTCATTTCTTAACATACTGGTTACTCTTACCTAAAACTAATACCAAATAATATGAAATGTAAACTGTAACTGAAAAATAAAATATATATGTATCTCAGTTGCTCTCAATTTCTACATTCAGCATCTGAAAACTACAAATTAATTTCTTTCTAGAGTGTAAGTTCTACGGAGAAAGAAGGGTCGTTACCCTCCCACAGCTGTACCCATGGTGCCTGACGCATGGTTGACAGTAGCTGACAGAACAGAAGGATCTGGTACATAAGCATCTGAAGGAACTTTGAAAGGGAGAGAAAACTACTACTATCAGCTGAAGCACCTCACTGCTTTTTAAAGAGCATAGAAAACTGTAAGACTGAGCCCAGCAGGCGAGGCTCAGCAGCTGAGCATCGACCTAGGATCCAGGAGATTGAGATTCGATTCCTGGTCAGGGCACAGGCCCGGGTTGCGGGCTCCATCCCCAGTGGGGGGCGTGCAGGAGGCAGCCGATCAATGACTCTCTCATCATTGATGTTTCTCTCTCTCCCCCTCTCCCTTCCTCTCTCTGAAATCTTTTCAATAAAGATATATTTAAAAAAAAGAAAGAAAATTGGAAATTAGGAAGCCTGCCTCTACCTTACACTCTCAACGTGTCTGTGCTGCTCGGGCGAGGTCAGTCAGCAGATGCTCTAGCCTTCGCCTTGCCTGGGAAGCACCTGTTCTCCGGGTGCTTCTGGAGAATGCGGGGTGTCCGCGCCCAGCTGACCGAAACGGGAGCCCCAGCCACAGGTCTGACAAGCACATGGCATGCGGCTGGTGTGAAAGATGGGCCGGAAGTATAAAATATAAACAGCATTCGAGAGGATAAGGACCGGAAAGAACGTAAAATAACCCACTGATAAATTATTTTATATTAACTACATATTGAAATCATATTTTGAATATAGTGGTGTAAACAAAATACATTATTAAAATGAATTTCATCCGTTTCTCTTTAGTTTTCTTAAGGTGACTGAGGAACTGTGAAAATGTTTATGTGGCCCATATTGCATCTCTACTACAGTCCTGCTCCAGGTCAACAACAGGAGAGTCTGGATGCCACCAGGAGGAAAGTCCACAAAGAAACAGGCAGCAGAAGGGGCTGGCTGCTGTGCTCAGTGGTGAGAGTCCACCCATGAACCAGGAGGTCACTGGTTCGATTCCCAGTCAGGGCACATGCCAGGGTTGCGGGCTCGATCCCTAGGAGGGGGCGGGCCGGAGGCAGCCGATCGATGATGTTTCTCTCTCATCTATGTTCCTATCGCTCTAACCCTCCTCTCCCTTCTTCTCTCTCTAAAAATCAATAGAAACATATTTTTTTAAAAAACAAAAACAAACGAACGAACGAAACCCAGACAGCAGGATCTGATTGCTCATTCATGGATGTTGCTCCCTCGCTGATGTTTCTACCTCTCCCCCTCTCCCTTCCTCTCTCTGAAATCAACAAAAACATATTAAAGAAAAAGAAAAGACCCACCATGGCACGCGGAGATAACCGCGTTAGCCTTGATTTGCAGGTGAGAAACTAAGGCACTGATGGTAACTGGGAGAGCAAAACGCTGAACACCGCTGGCCTGACTTTGAAATGCATGTTCTTCCCCTTTCTCTCCTCCAGTCACTCAGAGGGAACATTCCCATGTTCTAGAGGCTTAAAAAAGGCGGCCGGCTACCTCTCCTGGCTGACCCTGCGATGGGCCTCTCTTTGACACTCCATACCCTTCAACCACATTTCTCCTAGCAACTAAACCACAGATAAGAGTAAAGTGCCTAAAACTCAGGAAAATGACCAGACTGACACCCCACATGCTGCTCTCTTCTGGAAAAGAACAGTCTCCCTAACTGGGCTTTCTGGCCTTTGCAACTCAACGTCCTCCACTGTCCCTCACTGTAAGTATGACCCACAACAAAGCACTGTAACGGTGGGAATGCTGCCTGTGACTTCACTAACTGGGCCAATGGCTTACTCAGTTTCTTAGCGGCCTCCAGAGCTTCGCTCGCGTTGTCCACTACAAAGAATCTCTGCACTTTCACTCCGTTGTCAGCCATCAGCTTCTTGCTCTGGTACTCCTGCAGGTTCAGCCACCGCCTGGGGGTTAACTGAACTGCCTAGAGAGATTGGGAGAGAAGTAAAAACACTTATTAATAACAAGAGAAACAACAGTCAGCCTATACGGCCAGTCTTACAGGTACCCTCAAATGGCAATCAGCAATACAGATTTTAGACAAAAGGAAAAATCTATCTAAATTCTTCATGCTTAATTGTCTGTCTAATCAAAATGTTAAGAAACTATGAAAACTCAGTAAGATCTATGTCTAGTTACCAGTAATGTACCCAGGTTGATTTCCTGGTTTTGAAACTGTAGGAAAACTGTTAGATGTCAACACTAGGGAGCTGGGTGAAGGGTACATGTACACGGGGCTCTTGCACTATTTTTACAGCTCTCTGTGAGTCTGTAAGTATTTCAAAATAAAAAGTTATTTTTTAAAATAGTAAGGACTCTATTACATAGCATATGTCTCCATCCCCACCCCAAATAAATAAAGTTCACAGCATTATTTCAATACCTGTATGAACATTATTAATCACTTTTTAACATTTTGAGGTCAATGGGGCACAAACTAATCCATTTCTTTACTGAAGTTTTTAATGGAATCTAGGTATAATCATTACATGTTTAATGGGATTATCTCCCACACATCAAAGTTAAGTGCAATAACCTGAAAGAGTCNTTAATGGAATCTAGGTATAATCATTACATGTTTAATGGGATTATCTCCCACACATCAAAGTTAAGTGCAGTAACCTGAGTTNGAGGTCAATGGGGCACAAACTAATCCATTTCTTTACTGAAGTTTTTAATGGAATCTAGGTATAATCATTACATGTTTAATGGGATTATCTCCCACACATCAAAGTTAAGTGCAATAACCTGAAAGAGTCACCATTAATTAAACTAGTTCCTAAAAACTGCAACTCCTGTAAGAAAGCAACCTTGCTACGCATCAGTTAGGTTCTGTGTTGAAAGAAAATGACATAAACAGATGCTTCGAATTTTATCCAATAAAATCAACAGCATACTCCATCAAATCCATAAGCCCAAAGTTTAAAAGAAGAAAAGAGAAACAGGAAAAAATGAATACACTTAGTTTAAGCTCATTTCTATCCATGAGTCATGATGCAAAGGACCCACTGCTCACAGGAGGAAGGATGACAATGCCATTAATGCACAAAGAAACCAAAATATCCATCACATAACTGGGCCACAGGACTGGTGGCTGAAGACCTCCTGACGCACCTGCCTCCCTGTGGTTTCTGTCAGGGGCCTCANCCATCACGTAACTGGGCCACAGGACTGGTGGCTGAAGACCTCCTGACGCACCTGCCTCCCTGCGGTTTCCGTAAGGGGCCTCGGTGGATATCCAAGGCAGTGCCACACAGACTATCAACTGAGGTCCACGGGGCTTCACCACATGCAACTGTGAGCTTTCAGCACCTCTAATGTGTCCTTAAAATGGCACTTTGTTCTGGAACCTCAGAGCTACCATGCACTCAAGAAGTTCTTTTGGACAAGGGCTATTGCAAAGAGGCTCCAGCACCTTGCAACTAGTTCGGTTCCACCCAAGGCCGGTGAGTGTGTCATCTTCTTTGTATCTTAACGAAGAATGTGAGGCACTTGGCATATGGAAGACACTCAAAAATACCAGCTGGATGTCCACACGAATCAACCCTGCCTTTTGCCCCTTTATTCAGATCCCTTTTCATTCCCAGAAAATGACCTCCTCTAAAAATAGAAAAGCCCTGCAGATCTGAAATAATCGTAATATAATTTACACACCCTTTTAAAAAATTCAAATTCTGACATGATTAAACCTAAAGATATCTTTATGTTCTATCATTATTAATATTGGAAATGATGTTTTCAATACTGAAGTTGCCTGCACAATTCTTTAGATATAAATATACCCGGATAAAAATAAATTGCCAGGTAAGCAATGCTCAAATCACTGACTGGATATTATATNGATGTTTTCAATACTGAAGTTGCCTGCACAATTCTTTAGATATAAATATACCCAGATAAAAATAAATTGCCAGGTAAGCAATGCTCAAATCACTGACTGGGTATTATACAACTATATATGATTTATTAATCTTACTTCTGAACTTTTAAGTCTTGATGAAACATTAATAATATAAAAAACATAAAACTTCAAAAATGAGCATATTCATTGTCTCAATATTCTTAATAGCACATCAATAACATACCAAAAAAACCTCAAGTTTCAGGCATTTAGTAAAAGCTCCCTAAAGAAAGAAAATGTTATATATTAGATATGTGCCATATTCAGGGGCCACTTTTAAAAGGCAAATGGGGAAGGATCAGTAGATTAAGTCTATGTTGACATACCAATTTAAAACCGTTAACAGAAGAAGAAGAAAAAATACAGTTGAAAAGAACACTTGAGAGAGACTAAAAACAGCCACAGCGTGGTCACAGTCAATTCCTTTTCATCAGAACACTCACTGTATTAATTTTAGATATTTTAATGCAACCTGCTGCAAACTAATTGCAATTGATCCAGACACCAGCTTCATAGACATATAATACACACTGACTGCTTCTGCATTGACTCAGATGAAAGCCTGCTGGAAGTCAGCTGCTCTTACATTGAAAACTAACACGGTGAACACAGTTCTAAAGCCACTGCTGACTCCGAGCTCACTCCACAAAGTGATCAATACTCACCTGTGTTTGTCAACCCTGAACTTGGAAGAACAGGGTCACTGACGGGTCTAAAACGTCATTAACTCAATTTCACGCATTAAGAAGTTGAGCTATATCTAGAGAGGAACAACTTAAGTCTACTTTTGCATCTTCAGGAGGAAGAAAACAAGAGAGGAGACATGCTAAGCAAAGGGTGGTGTAAAGTGTGCTGGGAATGGAATGAAACGCTGCCTAATAATGGCGATCATGTCAATCATCCCTTCTACTGCTGACTGAGCACTTACCATGCGTTAGGCACCACACTAAATACTCGTGTATCTAATAATCAAAACAACCATGAACAGTCAAGTATTACTATCTTTCTCATAGCTGTTAGTAATGCAAACCAACAACCATCCCTCACCTTCCTTCTTCCAGGCACTTCCTTGCCTTAGCTGAAGGTAGATGAGGCTTTGTAACTAGCTCTGGCTGATAAGTCCCGAGTACACATGGTGCGTGACACATCTGGGCCAACACTGAATTATCAACTCTCTCACCCACAGAGTTCTCTCTCTCGACATGAGGAATGGCAGTATTCAGGGTGGCAGCTGCTGNGTGTGACACATCTGGGCCAACACTGAATTATCAACTCTCTCACCCACAGAGTTCTCTCTCTCGACATGAGGAATGGCAGTATTCAAGGTGGCAGCTGCTGCACCAGCCTGGGGCCAGGGTGAGGACCACACATCCCCAGTGACTCACAAGGAATATGTGGTGAAAACTAAAGCTTCGTGGACTTTCAGCCACTGAGATTCTGGGGATTGTTACTGTTTCAGAACCTAGCCTATCTACAGAACCTCTCCTGTCCTAACTATAGAACCATCCTATAAATTAAGAAACCCAGGCTGAAGGTTAAGTCACTGCCCAAGATCACAGGAGGCTGTCAAACAGCCAAGCTTCTCTGATCAACAGTATTGATCACTGTGTGACACTGCCGGTTCCCTGCATTTGGATTCTGGCCCCACAATCCCAGAGGCCCTGGTGATGAAGATACACGGGGGAGTAAGATCATGTTCCTATCCTCAAATGTCTACCCAGAACAGCGCTCTCGTGGGACGCTGGCCCAGCAAGTAAGGAAAGCTGTGACGGCCTCAGACTTCAGGAGAAAGGGAGGTGGAGATGAAGAGGGTGCTGGCCTAAGACACTAGAATGGTAGGAGTAATTTATTTCAACTCCTAGGAAGAGAGCTACCTGTTATAACCATAGGCTAATAAATATCTCCATCGCAGAAGTCAGGGACTCCATGAACTCTGGAAGGGAGCAATGGAAGGGAGTTTAAAGATCATCTGACGCAGGGCCTTTCAATTGTGGCTGCCAGCTATCTGCCAGCGCCTCCAGCTCTCCCCTTCTTTCCCATCCAGATTCCGCTAAATATAAGGCTCTGTTCAGACACTGGACAGGCTTTGCCTTCTTCTTTCTGAGTCAGGCGGAAACTCTGGCAGTAACTGCACCTCCTCTGAAGTCCCAGGTCCCTCAGACAACTTCTTCCACAATTCCAGCGTGACCATCTCCCCACCATGCCTCCTGCACCCATTGGGGCCCTGGCCCCGTTCACCCCGCCTTCCACTCCTTGGGCTGGCCAAGGATCCCTCCAGGTGCCAATCTCTGGGTTGTCTCGCCAGCCCTGTTTGCCTTCCATTGGTTCTAACACCTTTATAACTATTTGTCTTTCCTGGAAAAATCCTATTAAAAGACCTGATACTCCACAGAGCCTGCAGGTGCCCCTCCAAGGCAGGGGAGCAGGAGGAAATGGCAGTGGTCCACTTATGAAGGGGACACTGGTGACACTAGGACCCTACTCTGTGCAGTTTCTGGGGCAGGCATGTCTCATATATTCAGATTCCAAGGTATGAAAAGACTGCTGGGGTCCAACCTCCTCAGTTTACAGTGAGGAGCCTGAGGCCTAACCTGGGGATTTAACATGCCTGGGACCCTACAGGGAGCCAATGGCCAGATGGGAACTGGGCAAGTTCCAGTTTTCACTCCCTCTTTCACACAGATTTTGGCAAAGTGACCATATCAGGAAAAGCATCATGTTCTCAAAACAGCGTGGTGGACAGGCGCCTCGCTTTGGCTTCTTTGGGACTTGTACCCTGACCACCTGCTCCCCTCCCTGCCATGTCCCTGCAAGAGCCACCATTTCTAAGCTGGAAGGGGAAGGAGGAAATGTAACTTAAAGAAAAGCTGCACACAGAAATTTAAGAGCCTACGGAACAAGGGAGCAGAGGCAGAGGTAACAGGAGGAAAGTGAGCCCGGCCAGCATGGCTCAAGGGTTGAGCATCGACCTAGGATCCAGGAGATGGCGGTTCAATTCTGGGTCAGGGCACATGCCCGGGTTGCAGGCTCCATCCCCAGCAGGGGGCGTGCAGGAGGCAGCCGATCGATGACCCTCATCACTGATGTTTCTCTCTCTCCCCCTCTCCCTTCTTCTCTCTGAAATCAGTAAAACATATTAGAAAAGAAGAAGGAAAATGAAGGAAAGCACAAATGGACCCAGAGACCAGAAGACTAGGACTAAATGGGAAAAAAACTC